TTCATAGTCACACCTGCACTTCAAATATACCACTCGCTCACAAAACTCACAAGTGTGACACAAAGCTGTAGCTTGGTGGCTTCAAAGTACTATGAATGTTGGCAGCTGTTTAGTTGGGCACCCACAAATATTTATAACAGGATGAAAGCAAATGTTGTAGTATTTGCACACTAGCATACTTTAAAAGCAATTACCGGTACTACGATGCTGACTTAACATGACCATGGCTGCCTGTTGATTGTGTTGAATGATTCAGATGTTTTTCAAGTTCAAGTCAAGTTTATTGTCATTCGTATCACATGTGGTACATGAGGTGGAACAGAATTGTGTTCTCAAGGTCCCAGTTACACCCAGCAAAAATATAAAGTATAAAAACAAAGCAAACTATACAGATCTAAGATACATGCTAAACGAACACCAAACAGTATGCTAACAATATCTAAGATATACGCTAAACACTAATAATGTAAAACAATACAGCATATCAACAGCAGCCCGAACATGAGTCTCTGGTGAGTAGATAGGTATGAATGAAAACAGCAACATGAGATAATCAGCAGCATGAGATCAGGAGCACAGATAAGTCACATAGCACCAATTAAAGTGGCATTATAGTGCTTTTTTTTTTTCAGCCTGTTGTTGATTTTACACTTTGAAAAATTCATTTTTATTTAACCTTTTAAAAAAAAAACTAAACAAATATCTCAGAAGTTTATAAAGACATAGTCCAGTCAACTTTGTAGTGTAACACGGAGTCCTTTCCTGACTGTGATCTGTGATTCCGAGGATGTCTTACAGAACCATCCATCCATCCATCCATCCATCCATCCATCCATCCATCCATCCATACATCCATACATCCATCAGTCAATGCATTCATCCATCCATTATCTTTACCCACTTCTTCCTTTTCGGATCGTGGGGTTCACTAGTCAGCCATCATTGTGCGAGTGGTGGGGGACACCCTGGACAGGTCACAAGTCCATTGCAGGGACAGAACCATTCAGGAAGTTGAAATTAGTTCCAACCTGAATAATGTCTGATTACTCTGCACTTTCACCCCTTAATCAGCTGTTGATTGATAAGATGCCCCATCTTCTATAAACTTTAACAAAGACCATTCATGAAATAAGGTTTGTTTTAGTGGATTATGCGAAATGCTGTTGAAATGTTGAAAAATAAATAATTTTGATTTTTGCAATTTCTATATGAAATTAATGGTGTTCGAACTCATGTCCATTGCTTCTGTTTTCCAGAAATAACTCAAATATAAGATGCTTCACTTTGGACATGGTAAGAACAGTTTTATTAACTAAAGACATCAGGCAGTCTCTGAATGCCACATCACCCTCTCATAATTCCCAGGGCATCCTCAACGTCTGGGGGCTGTTGTTAGCTGTGTGTGTGTGTGTGTGTGTGTGTGTTCCAATTTATGTTTGTCGTTTAATTACTTGTGTTTCCGTTCTTCATTTACATTTGGGCAAAGAAAAACAACAGGTTTGCTCTAAAAATATATTTTTGTCAGAAGCCAAGTAGAGGAATAGTTAAATACAGAAGAAATAACCATTTTACTGAAATACTTAAATGACAATGTTTAAATAAACTTATGGAGGGACTACCTTTTGCCTGTTCATGCTTCAGCTGCCACCCTGCTGCCCCTTTTAAGGTTTCAGCTTTGGTCACCTTGGAGGAGTGACTGTCATGATCCAGTAAAAACCCTCTGAGCCATATCCTGTCCCCCTGCGTCGTGTGTTGGAGTCTCCATCAACCTGTAAAATACCAGAAAGACAGCACAACAGCTTGCCACACTTCACACTCAGTATTGTAAGGGACTGTCAGCCTGGTCATACCATTAATGCATTCCTGTGTCTTGTTATAACGTTGGAAGCTGAAGCTGCACTTCACAACATCTCTTTCTTACTTTCAGTATTATTAAACAACAGCCTGATAATCTGGTTGATTTACACATCAATCACACAAATTCCAAAATTCATAATCTTAGTCAATGGCATTATTTATTTTTTTATTTTTTTATTGTTGTTGACAATCCCATTTTTTGTTTATATTATGTTTGTAATGAAATTTCAAAAGACAAAATCTATGTCCTCCTCATTTGTGTATATGCTTATTTGTCATGGTACAAAGTTTTCATGATAGAAGGAATAAATTAATACATTATTCACCCTGTTACTGGTCAGTAAACTAGCTTTGTGCTCATGATTTTAACAAGACCAAACTATTGTAGTAAAGTAAGTTAAATAGGTGTCACCCTTCTTTCCCCCCTCACCACCAATTATTACAGAAGTGTTGTGTCTAATACGTGTTAATAGTTTGTATCTCATCATCTGGGAAAACACTGACAGGAAATTGAATATTTGAAAAAGAGGTAAACATCTTTGTTTAGCTAATGCCTAGCCAAATGAGTGCCCATTGTTTCTTCAGGCTTACAAAGCATTCTTAAAATAGCATACTGGCATGAAAGGACATTAAATTAGCTGATAACTCAGTTGATGAGTTATTACCAGAGTAAATTAACAGACGTATGAATGTTTTTATTTAAATAAAAAGCACAATTATTCTTGTATGTGTTTT